CCCGCCCCCCCACACCTGGTGCAGCTCTGCCTCCAGCGCCCGCAGGCGCCCCTCAAGCGCGCCCCTCACGGCCGCCACATCAAACACCTCGTCCATGTCCACCTGGGAGTGGGTGGGTTTGTGTGTGTGGGTGAGGGGTGCAGTGAGGGTGGTGTGTGCACGCGCACGCGCGTGGCGCGCTGGATGTGCAAGCGTAGTTAGGGGCCACAATTTTCATTGGTGGGCTGCCGTAAAGCGGCAGCACAGCACAGCGCAGGGTGAAGTGAAAGGTCTGCGCCACAAGGCAGCCCGCCCTGCCAAGCCGAGGAGAGAACGCAGCCGGCACAGCCAAGTGACCCCTGAGCGCGGCCCCTCTGATCACCCCGGCCCGCTGCAGCTGTTGGAATAAATCACGAGACGCCCCCCAGGCGCGGCCGACCGCGGCGCCACACACACCTCCCACGCGCCCTCGAGCTCCTCCCTCAGCCGCTGAGGGAAGGTGTCGATGAGCGGCATCAGGAAGAAGCAGCTGCGGGGAGGGGAATACAAGGGGGTGGGACCCACATGACCACTGATTGGTGATCATTTCTTTTTGGCGTATGATAGAGGTGGGTGGCGGTTGGACGAGAGGAGCATCCGCCATGATCCGAGGTCAGGAGGGAGGCTGGGGGCGCGGTTCGAACCCGTGATTGCGCGCAGGGCCGAGCTGCGCGGCGTGGGCGGGCTGTGTGGCGTGGCAGGGGGGGGGGCGGCTTGGAGTCAGGGATGGGATGGGGGGAATCTCACTTGAACTTCAGTTCTGCTGACTGTATGAGGTAGTCACGGATGCCCTCAAAGACCTGCAGGCGCGGGCACGGGCAAGGGTGTGCGTGTTTTGGGAGCGAAATCTGCCAGGTATCACTGTGACGAGGCACGGCCTGGGGGCCGAGGTAAGAGAGTGAACGAAAGCAGGCGGGAGGGTCCTGCAACAAACAGGTCAAGGGGTTTGCGATTGTCTCTGTCTGTTGCACGCACACGAACACGCACGCACACACACACACACACACATACACACGCAACCACACACACACACAAACACACACGCGCACACACACGCACAGCAACACCCACCTGGCACACGAGCGCCGCCACCATCTCCTCCGACAAAGACCCCAGCTGCCGCTGCCACAGGGTGCACTCCAGAAGCTCCAGCATCACCGCCGCCCCCGCCGCGCCGCCCTCCGCGGCCCCGGAAGACGACGACCCGCCGCCGCCGCCGGAGGAGGCGGGCTTGCCGCCACCAGAGGAGGGGGCGGGCGCGGCGCCTGCGGCGGCGGCGGCGCGGACGGCCTCGGGGATGTGCAGTTTTGACATCATGGCGCGGAGGGCCTTGGTGCTCTTGGTGTGGAGGGACCTGAGGGGCGTGAGTGTATGTATGCGAGTGTGTGTGGGGTGGTGGGTGTGCGCGCATGTGTGTGTGTGGTGTATGTGTGCGCGTGTTTTTTCCCAACAGCGTGTGTGTGCACGCACACTACTGTTATGTATATCAGGCGGCAGGCAAGCTGTGAAGCAAGCCCCAGGGGTTGATCCCAGCTGAGCAGCAACGAGGAGCCGAGGGGACACCACGAGTGCTGGCCATGGAAGTCGTGCAGACAACGTCAGCAGCGAGGGGCGGGAGCGGCGCGGCCGGGGCCGGCGCGGCTGCCCACCATGTGACGTAGCGCGTGGTGGAGGTGAGGTCCTCTAGGCAGCGCGTCTTGCAGCCGGACTCGACCTGGTGAGTTAGGCGTTTGGTGATGGCGGAGGGGGGCAGCAAAGAGGAGATGGGAAGGAATCATGTGGGGAGGAGGGGTGGCGTTGCAGGGCGGCGCACAGGGGGATGCGGAAAGGTCCAAGATGCGCGCCCGGCACCTGTGTGTGAAGGGGCGCGGGTCTGGCAGTGCTGGCAACGGCCCCTCTCTCCCTCCCAAAGCGGCCAAAACACATGGGCTTGCCAACGGGGCTGAGTCTTCAAGCCCCCGATATTTCCCTGTTCTTGATGGAGGCCTGTTAGAAGGGTTCTATCTGCCGACCCAGCATGACGGGGTGTCGTTCAACGCGTGGATGCAACGAAAAGCAGAACACAACGTGATGCAAGCGGCCGTGCGGCGCGCACCTCGTCGATGAAGGCGTGGTATGCGGCCCCCACGCGCTTCAGGAACAGGTCGTGGCCGCTCAGGCACTGGCCGTCACGCTACAGGGGGAGGGGGGAGCCCGGGGCAGGGGACGTTTGTGGTTGCTTTGGGGTGCAGGGCGAAGGGGAGGGTGCGGCAAGGTGTTGAGCGAGACTGCCGCTCACTTGGATCGCGATTGCTCGTAGCTTACAGGCGTACATCCTGCCGGCGTAATTCTGGCTATGTGGACATAAGCTTGTTTCACCTCATCCAGGGCCTCATGCTTCGAAGGCACATGGACTAATATCGTCAAAGTGCTGGACGGACAGAAACAGAGTCAATGCTGGTCAAACGGGCGGCCACCGCACAGTCAAACGCGGTCAACCCCTGACGCCCACCTGCAGCAGGAACATCGCCACGGGCAGCAGCCGCCGCAGCACGTGCGCCAGGCGGTATCCCAGCTGGCGAGTGGAAGGCCGGGCGACGCGGCAAGCGGCGTTGGAGGCGGTTGCTTGGTGCAAGCATAGGGCTAGTCAGGGCACACACATGGTGGGGCTTGAACATGCCACAACCCCCGTCCAGAGCTGCATGGATGAGACCGAGCAAGCTGCAGCACGTGCAGCTGGAGGAGACCGCCAGATCACGCCCAGATCGCACCCAGATCGCGAGATCACCTGGTGCATGAAGGGCTCGAACATGTCGCGCGCCTTGGACACGGCTATGACGCACGCCGTGCGCACGTAGTTGACGCCGTCGTGGATGTCGTCGACGCCGCATGCATTGACAATCTCCTCGCGGCTGGGGTCGGGCAGTGTGTGTGTGTGTGTGTGTGTGTGTGTGTGTGTGTGTGAGTGTGTGTGTGTTTGTATATGAAAATGTGTGTGTGGGAGTGTATGTTGCTGTGCATACGCTACACTCAGCACTGGTACTAACGAAAGCAACGGGACAGCCCGGCGAGCCCGCCAATGCCATCCTGCCGCGCCGTGCTGCACCGCGCCATTCTCGCCGGGCTGCGCTGCGACTTCACGATTTGCTGTGGGAGTTGGTGCCTGGATGGCGGCGGAGGACCTGCCACCCACACGAGACAACTTTAGAGTCCCACCAACCCGCACCTGATGTCTGGGCAGGTGAGCTGGCCTATTGCCATTCTGAACTCGGCCATGGCCCTGGGTGGCCGGGCGGCGCAGTTGGGCATGGTCGGGCGTGGTCGGGCGTAGTCAGGTGGGATGGTGGGGAGGAGGGGGGCGAGGGTGAGAGATACTACGGACGAGTCATCAGGGTAGGGCACTAATTTGCACCGGGGAGCCAATGCCGCACGCTTCCAGCTGCGGAGCGTGCTGCCCTTTGGTTGCGACTACGCGAGCCCCTGCCCGTCCTGCCTGTCACCGAACGGCCCGCTCCCCCCCAAATGCAGGGGGCCGCCCGCCGCACCTGTGGAACTGGGCGCCGCCGTAGAGCCGCATGTTGGCGTTGGGCAGGCCGCTGGGCAGGGGCAGGGTCTCCCCGTTGATCCCGATGAACGCGCCTGCCGGGGTTGCGCGCGGTTGCGCGGCGCGTCAGGGGCGGCGGTCCGGGCGAAGTGGGGGCGCCTCTCGGCCGAGGTTCGCTCGCAAAGCCTCTGCAGGTCCTCCCCAACAGTCAATGGCCCCCTCTGCACCCCATCCCTCGACCCACACATGCAAGCACCAGCCGCTCACTCGCTATCAGCGTCCACAAACAGGACTCAACTGGGCAGCCACGCAGCCCGCCACCCCCGCGCTTCCAGCACTCTCAACCCCCAACCCCAGTCGGACGCCGCGCCACCACCCCCGACCCTAATCACCAGCATCCCGCTCACCCCCGCGCATGTGCTCGTCCCCCAGCGTCTCCCCGAAGCGGTCGGCGGGGGCGGCGACCGTGCCGCGCAGCAGCAGCGCCACCTTGGACAGGAACGACTCCCGGAAGCTCCTGCCCTTGTCCTGCGTGGTGTGTGTGTGTGTGTGTGTGTGTGTGTGTGTGTGTGTGTGTG